TAACCACCCAATAAACATCGGTGGCCGTCCCAATTCAATATCTCAAAGAATTTTAAACAAAGAATGCATGTGGTATCTTTTTTTCAAACTTGACCAATGTTGGGAAAAGCCGCCATTTTTAATCGTGATTTTAGGTGGTTTCCTGTGGACCGATTTTTGGCAACTTTTAGTATGTCACTCTGCAGACCCAACACTACAAAAGAAAACCATAAAACGTTTTCATGCAATTTTTTTAAAGTCATGTCCTATATTTCTCTGATTAAATGTAAAACGGCACAATTTAGCGTTTATTTACATTTTTGGTATTTTTACCTATTTTTAGTGTGCTCTAGTGACGTAACGGTTTGTCGTAGAAACAAGTGTTATATATAAAACTTGTAGTAAATTTTATGCTCTTTAATTTTACAAACCAGGGTATTTTCAGAAAACCCATTTACACCGAGTTTTAGCCCAAAAACCTAAAAAAATACCCGAATTTTGACTTTTTTCGTAAAAAAAACAATGTTCCGGGCATAATATCTGTCAGCAAACCTCATATTCGTGTTCAGCGACCCAAAAAACATAACGAACAATGGTGATTAGGACTGTACCTAAACTTTCCGCTAACTGCCACTTATATTCCTAATATGCCTAGCCTAAGTAGGTATCAACTGAAGTAGAGCTGATAAGTGTTATCAGCTGGCAGGTGTCAACACAGACAGCTGTCTGTCAGTGGTACCAACCTATGCTATCCCTGGTCAAACCCATGGTATCATCTGCTGTCATATATAATAAAGTCAACACACAATTTTCATTTAACTTCAAATTAAAATACACAATTTTGTGTCTCAGGGTATGGATCCAATCTAATAACCAAAATCTATGTTTATCGACAGCACTCTTTGATCTAACTGAAACCAAGGTGGTAAATTTAAATTGACTTCCTTAAATAGTTATAAGAACCAAATGAATCATTGGAAAGAGTGGGAATCTACAAGCAAATCAACCAGAGCTATTGAACTGTTTACAATTTGGACTAATCAGTCAAAATTAGATGTTATCAGCAATGTAGCCCTTTGTCAGCTGATTGACTTGCAAATCAGGCTGCCAACATTCTCTCCCAGTGCTACCAACCCACAAAGGTATCATTGGTTGGCTGAAACATTGCTCTAACAACATCAACTCTAAACTCCATGTAATTTTTTTTTTTAATTTTTGTGGTTCTATTAATATAATTTCATTTAATGCTGCAAAATGTTTTTATTAAAAACAACAATTAGATACATATTTTTTTATGTTTGTTTTGATTTTATTTTCAACATCATTTGTAATTTTAATGGTTTTTGTAAGGGAACGGTCATAAACCCTGTCTTGTAACTACCTAATGTTTCATTAGGGACATTTGGGGAGCGAGCTGATCTAGCGATAGAGAGGGGGGACTTCGGTCCACGATGTCCCAGGTTCAAATCCCACCAATCAACAATGGACGGGAGTGATAATGCCACAACCCTCTAGGTCTAGCCTGAAGTAATGTCATCGTAGAATAAAAAGGGAAACACTGTGGTAATACATAGTGGATCCTGAATACTTTTATTTGCTGGTGAGTCAGCATTAGCCTACGACACATCCCACAAGGTGGTACAACATATTTTATCTTGTGAAGTGGTATTTGGGAAAAGGTTTTGAGAAACACTGTACTAGTTGAGGAAGTACAGTATCATATAAAAGAACTAGGGGTGACTTTATATTATGAGTGTGACTGATAAAGTGACAGTGGGTTAAGTGGGGCATAACTTAAACAACAAATAATTGTTTACGGTTTCTTTTATGGCTGCCAAAAAATCTTTTAATGAAGCTACGGATTTTAAAGACATACTTTTTATCTTCCCAAATAAATACAAAGAAGAAATATTTAAGAAATTTACTTAAATAAGTTTAGTAGAGAGTAAAAATAGACTTCCTTTCAAGTTTGACAAGTAATCCATGGGCTAACAACTTTCTTCATTAATGTGGGTCTAAGCTGACTTCAATTATTATATCGTTTGGATTCCAAAATTTATCACCCTTAATATACATTTTTTTTAAAGCTATTTTAGACAATTTTCATATTTTTGGTTCAATTAATGAGCTAAACCAGAGAAAAGTAAAAAGGTAAAAAAACTACGAAAAAGTTCCAATATTTTGGTTACATTATTACATTTAAATTTTAGACAACTCAAAGCAAAAAAAGAAAAATTATAAAAAATTAAGTTATGACTTAACAAAGGGCAATGAATAGTTTATTTTTTAATGAGATATAGATTTTATTTTCGTTGAACATTACAATTATTGGAGTAATTTTTTATTTAAAACTTTGATTAAATAGTTTTAACATCGTTTTTTTCATCACTGAGCAGATTAAAATTAAAAGGCCATTTTATCCCAGAGAGGCCACATCAATTTGAATTTATAGAGACATTAACGCTCCTCCTAACATATACCTTTGCTATTTTGGTTTCCTGCCAAGATTTTATGGCAGTTGTGATGAATCAGTTTGGCAAAGACCACCACCAAAAAGTCCTGGTAATTAATTAGATTTTCTCTTCTACCTCTCTTAAAACAGATATTTATATTTAACTATTCTTTATCATTTATATTTAAGCGTTTATCAGGATAGAATAACACCATTTTATCAACATTTGTTTAAGAGTTCAGGAGTGTGATTTTTAAAAACATTCTCTTTAATTTTAAATTACCTATACAACGATTCAATTACGTATATATATATATATATTCCTAGATAGAATTCCACAGTCACTATAATTGTGGATTCAGGGTCTTCTGTGGTGTCAAAAACTACTCAAAATTAATGTCCTCCGACGTTTCAGCCTCGATGTAAAGCGCCATCTTCAGAGCGACTTGACTTTATACTAAGACAACTGTGCGGAAGTCAAGTCGCCCACGGTTGGCGGTCTGCATTGAGCAAGAAAATGTCGGTGGACAATGGTAGTTTTGCCATGTTTTTGACACGGTTGACCCCAGAAGACCAGAAATCAACATATTAATATGTTATGGATTGCTGTTAATCCAAAACAAGCCTACACTATGAAAGATGAATCCTTTGTTGATCGAAACTTAAGCCTAAGAAGCGTAAGTGTGAAACATTGACACACAAAAAAATTAGTGTTTAAGGCAGTGTTGACATGGGTTAAAAAAAGGGGAATCGCCAGGAAATTTGGAATTTGGACTAACATTTTATTGAAGATTTTTAAAACCAGGAAGGTATGAAGTTGAAGGTGGGTGGGTTAACCAATAAGAAAATATGTAAAAACGGTGAGTTTAAAGACGTAGACAAATGTCTTAAACGTGGTTAAAAAAGTGTCGAGATAAAAATATTCTTACATCAGATCCAATTTTGCAAGGGAAGGGTACCCATTCAGTTTGCCATTGAGATGCATGAATTATTTTATTTTGGTTCCACTCTTCATTCATTACGTATAAATAGCCGAAGCTCAATTTATAAAGGTTTTGCATTTTAAAAAGCCCAGTTATAAAGTTCATGGCTGAATATTATTGTCAGAGTCCAACACTTTGGTATGTGAAATTTCCAGTATAGCTTATAGCTTCATAACTTGAACTTTTTTTATTCAAAAACTCAAATATTTATCAAATCAGAAAATCAGAATTGTTACCATGAATAGAATAGAATAGCGGAGTGGAAATAGCGCTCTCTTAGAAACCAGAAGATTAACCCTGAAAAAATTAAAAAATCCCTGGTACCAAACTGGACCCAGCTGTTCTTAGTCAATGTTTTTTGGTAAACTACTCTGGCTAAAGAACCAGATGATCTTAATAAGTAACAAGGCTGTCATTTCATTAATTTCACACTCATCGTTCACTCATCATCGCATTGAAATACACATCCAAGTGTGCCAGCATTGCAAAAATCTTATCTAATCCTACACTCTTTCGACAAAGTTACATTTTATCTTGGAGTCAGGTATAAATATCAATATTGAATCACAGGTTCTGATGTTTCTACATTACTAATCACGCTTAGATGAAGCAATATTTGATAAGTTGATATTGACTAAACCTTAAAAGAGAATGAAAATGACACGTTTGTTTAGAAAATCCATGGTAAAAGTGTATGCATAAGAAAGCAGAAATCACACTTATTCCACTCACTTAAAAAATTCCATTTTCACCTTTGGCTTAAAAAATTCCTTAGTTCCTAGGTTAGGGACACAGTCTAAAAATATATTACATTTTTGGCTGTTTGTATTTGTAGAGCTGCTACACAAACAAAGATAATTAACTGCAAGGGGTTTAGGAAAAGATATTATTTGAAAGAGAAAAACAGCGTCATTAAGCCCGAATCTACAACAGGTGTGGGGGTGGTGGCACAGCAGAGCTTAATGGCTACACATCCCTTGTCAACTTATATTTCATGAAACCCTGCTTTTTAACTTCGCAAAAATATCTAGCTTAAATGCTGTGCGCAGATGAAGGACAAAGGTCATTTAAGTTTGGCTCGGATTATAATAACAATTAGTGACATGATAGTTTGTGAATTTTGTATATTTTGTAGATGTCCCAAGTTGTTGTATATTATTTATATATTTTTAAAGTCTTTTAGGGTGTATGAAATAAACTGTATCTTGTGTTTTCAAAACTTGCTGGACAAATGTGTTGTATCAGGGAAAGATGTTGTCCAAGTTAATGTGTTTTACATTTATGCTGGTCATCTTTATTGTTTCTGAGATAAAATTATGTGTTTGTGTAACAAAGGTATGCAAAAAAATGTCATTGTTTTCAGAGATGCTATCATATTTTTGTGTTTCAGATAAATTCACATCTTGTTTTTCTATTTCAGACACAAGTTTTTTGCAGAAGACATTTATTGCACATTTTTGTTTACAAAGCATTACTAACCAGGTTATTGTGTGTTTAAAGAGACACTGATACACTTCTTCTCTGAGAAACATAGGTAGTGATCACATTTTTGTGTTTCAGATCATGATCAATGTTTTGTGTTTTAGAGACATGTTGATCAAGAGTGTGCTGTTACTTGTCGGGATCGCCCTGGGGGCTGATGCCCAGGCTTATCTCCCCATTGGCAAGGTACCGGTAACATTCGACACTGAAAATATTAGACTTATCTTTTACAGTTTTAGACAACAATCATTTTTACCAATTTGGGCACTTAATTTTTCAAATAATTTCTGGGAAAGGATCTCCATCACAGACTAGCAAGTCGCTCCCAACTGTACAATTTTCATCAGGTGTTGATTCAATGAGCTCCTAGTATAATATTTGATAATGAAAAATCTTTTTTATCCTTATTTTTGCTTTCTGGATTGATTTAAATTACTTATAAATAAGGTTAAATACCTTTTCACGTCATCAATCCTAGTCGTATTTTGGGATGACTATATAGTGTCTTCATAAACTGTTATAACGCTATTCATTGCAGTTCACACACACACACATACAGAACTATGTGTATGTGGACTTTATGTGTAACTGCAATGACTAGTGTTTCAACAGTTTTATGAAGACACAAGATTTTACAATGGAACAGCATGCCTCAAAACTATAGTCATACCAAAAGACGACTCTATGATTGATGACGTGAAAATGTATGTAACCTATTTATTATAAAATCTGTTGCCTAGGAGATACGTATTGTATTATTACATGTGTTGTCTAGGAGCACTTCTTGACCGACTCACTGTTGAGAGAGGTGGTGGATAGGATGGGACGAGACCTGGCGGAATCATACCTTAACACTCCCCTTATCTCTCGAGTTGACAAGGACCCCGACGACCCTCCCTTCTACTCCAACCCTAACCCGAGCATCCGAGACCAAGAGTACTTGCAGCACAGTTCCCTCTGGGGACATCAATACATGACGGGTGAGTTAGACTTTTAGACACTCACCCACAGCTAGACCCACAGGAATCTATAGCCATAAATTAGCTTGAAACATAATTTTGTATTCAAATGGTTGTATGAAAGACTCACAGGAGTGTGTACTACTCTAAAAATTTGATTTTCTCCATTAGTTTTGGGGACTGCGATATTTGATGTAATAAAAGCTAAATTTGATACAACTCGATGCTGTAGTTTATGAAAAGTGTCCTCACAATTAATTTTGGTTAAACATTTTGTGTGGACATAAAACAGTAATTGACAACAGAGCAATCTTTTATAGCGACTCAAAAAATTATTTTAATTCTAAATCTGGCTGTAGCTTAAACACGAGAGAACCATTTTCCAGCCCTTTACCCAGCTTTTTCCAGCTCCCTCATTGCAATAGGGCCAGACCTTCAGTCATCTGTCGATGAATTTTGCATCGGATAAGTTTCTTGTAAACGTATCACTTACTTGCTCGCGGTAGGAGTTTCAATGATTTAAAAATGTTTAAAAACACACAGACAAATCTACAGAGCTGCAATTGGTGTCATTCTGTTCGCAAATGATGCGGCAAGGAGTCTCATTACGGGCTGTATGCAAAAATAGCCGTTGTAGTTTAGCAAATTATCTACCGTTGTTTATGACAGGAGGAGCTGGTGAGGGAAAGCAGCATTTGAAGCCAGACGGAGCAATATTGAACCAGAAGCAGGTGAAGACGGATGCAGCCCTTCCAGCGTACTGCAACCCTCCCAACCCCTGCCCTGTCGGATACACCGGTAAACCTCTTCACTAGTAGATAACATTAGATCAATACACATCAGGGTCATAGACAAATAGAGTAAATATAGACTGCCAAAGGAAGATTCTGCGATGTGCCCCTAGTTCAATATGCGTTGATTATCTGCCGTCGTCGACTCACCGTCTGCTACCTGCACTAACACCCTTGCAAACTAAATGCTTCCAACGTATCACACCCACTTTTCAATATAAGTCAAGTAAAAATTCTGAGATCACGTAATTTTAATGGAAACCTCTTTTTTTCAAAAATCTTCAGAAATTTTTAATACAGAGAAAATGTCAAAACAAATTCCTACTCCTCGGATTCCACACGTTGGCAACTCTGGTTCCAATTACCAACTTGTCATGGCAACGCTCGCTAGCGTTTGACACTCCAGCGGTGTGGGCTACACAACACTCCTAACGGTGGATGCCAAAATTTGTATTACAAGAATTGGTGTAAGGGGGCGTACACAAAAAATACTTAATTTTGACACATCGTTTGTAAAAATCTGTCCATTATTAACGAAGGAGTAGTGTTTTGTAGAAATCGCCTTAACGTATTATATATAAGGATTTATCCATCCTAAAAGTTTGCTGCCGGATATCTACCCCCATGTGACGTCAAAATTACGTAGGCGTTTTTTCATGGGAGTAAATATCCAGGGGTAGAATTCTGGCAACCCCTTTGTTACTTGCTTATCAGCTGATTCTTTTGCCAAACCCATTAAAAACCCAATGATCAAAAGACAGCTGTGTGTAGTTTCAGCTGACAGGAAGCTACTAATTTTTTCAAAATTAAACCGATGACCTTTGATTAGCAAGCGAGCACTATTTCAACTCAGCTACCCAGCAAGTTTGGGGGTATACAGCGGACTCAGTTATCTGATCTATAGAAGATTATGGATTAACTGGGTGGCTTTTATTAATACTTATTATTGGCCATAGTTAGTTTACATTATTTAAAGGATATATATAAACCTCCCATCACAATGAGTTAATACTCTTGCTGCAGCAAACCTGTTAACTAAGAGAATTTCCATTGCATGATTGGATTTCCACTTTAACATGGTAGATTTATTCCCCATTTAAATAACATTTGGTTTAGTGAGTACTTAGGTTTACTGCTACAAGGAATGTCATTACAAGGCTGTGAAATAAATAAGTTTACCAAATTTGATTAAAATACATCCATACACATAAAATATATCCATATAGTTATTTAACTCTACAAATTAATTTGAAAATAAATGGAGAAATTAATTTTAGGGTCAAAAATGGGAAAAACCATTCCCTATTGAAACCTATGGTAATAGTTTATTCACTATATCCGTCCTCATGTGATATTTAATCAGACCTTTCTTGGTTCCTTATAAACCTTGGCCACTATTCCTTCTCCTCACCAGTTTGTATTTGGAAAAAGCAGTTTACTGTACTCCACCCTGTATAGTAGCAGTCTAATGCATTTCCTATTAACAAATTAACCACTGGACTTTGCCAAACCCCTTAGTTCCGAACCACGTCAGTATTTGCTGATTGTTCATCCTGCTTATTTGGTAGTTGTAATTAAATGGCTGAAAATATTCTCGCACATGTTGATAGCGGAGGACGGATGTTTGGAAGAGTTCGAGAACACGGCAGCTTTCAGCCGAGAGTACCAGAGTGCTCAGGACTGCATGTGCGACTCAGAACACATGTTTGACTGCTCTAACCACGATCAGCAGAACTCGGAACTCTCTGAATCTGAGCTCGACCAGTTTGTACAACAGTTCCAGGTAATCATCAGTTTTAATAATTTTATTGTGTTTAATCAAGGATTAAAACATGCAGTTGTTACTTGCATGCGCATTATTATTATTTTTAAGTGGTTTGATTACAATAACGTTACTAAAAAATGTAAAAAGATTTTTATGAGGTGTTCCTTTTCTAATTTTTCTGTTAGTTTATGCCAAAAGCATATGTTATACAATTGGTAAAGTATGAACAACCATACGTTATCATACATGCATTGATTCATAGTGAACTTTTTAATGTCAATATTGCAATACACGTGATTACATTATACTCTCTCCTAGTTAGATACTAGTTACTAGATTACTAGTTACTACTTACTAGATACTAGCATAGATTAAACATACGGAGTATGTTTAATCTATGATACTAGTTAGATAAGCCCTTTTCAAACTAAAAAAAAATTTCAACCGTCAGAAGTAAATTAACAACAAAATAAGCAATAAAAATTGTATTACTCAAGTACAACACCTCTAGACAAACAGATACCAAAATTGTGTTTGTATATCAAAATCAAAGTGGCCAGTTATCAGCAGATGCTCATTTTAACCACCCAAAGTCTGTAGTATTAATGTTTAAATGAAGACGTTTCAACAAAAGTACAAGATTAGGCTATTTTAGCAAACCAAGCGTTTAAGAGAATATAATGATTGACTTGTCGATCTCTAAAGAGTGCCGTGTTAGTCTATTGTTTATCATTGAGAAAGGGACACCACAGCGGTTCACTTTCTTATCACAGTATGTTTTTGCTCAAGGATGGTCACAACAGTAATACAGGTGGGCAATGGCAACACAAAGGGCATCTAATTCTCCACTTACACTTAAGTTAACCATCATAAGTTCTCTCTGCTTTCCTACTTCTCTTTCTCCTATATTGAGAATGTATAGATAAGTGTGGATAGCTTAAACATCTCTGACTACAAAACTCGAAGTAGAGTAATCGATTGAAACAATATTTAATCAGAATGTTTTCAATACACTGTCCACACCAAAAGTTATTATTCTGAAATTACTCAAGCAACTGCATATGGATCAACGACTACTGGATTATTGTTTAAGTGCACCAACAGTGTCATTTAATATAGGAAACTTGTTTCATCACTGATTTTAAGCAGTAAATGTGTTGTAAAATTACAAATTTGGTTTCAGGCAGAAAACCCCCACAAGAATTTGGTTGCAAAGAAATTCCACATGAAGAAGGTAAGAATGACAATTTCGATCAGATCTAAACTGTCAAAAGTAAATACAAATTGTGTGACTACTTATGATTCTCGGCTCGATCTTGAGATAAGTCAGTTGCTTTATGGTATGAAACTAGCCCCAGCTGTCAATTTTTGTCTATAGCGGTGTTTACACTGTCGTGGGGCCACGGCTAAAATCAGGCGTGTAGGTGAGAAATTTTCTCACTTTCTTGGGAAGCGTGGCCACGTCTCGTGTAAACAGTGGAGACGTGGGAGCAACAGACGTGGCAACCCAATACGCCTGTTCCCCACGCCCTTCAGGACTAACCAAACCGTGTTTGGTTGCTACGCCAGTTGCAGGCGTGGCTAGACGTGGTCAGGAGTTACTGTATCGTCTTCCGTCTCATCGTTGTGTGTACTACAAGTTTAACTATTTCTTTTATGTCAGTGGATGTTGTCTTTGTTTTTAAGTACCATGTCGAAAACAAAAAAAATCACAAGTCAAATCAATTGAAACGGTGAAAACAAAGAAATCTTTAAAATTAACGGAAGGTCAAACAATTCGAATGCTTGAACTGTATCAAAGTGAACCTTTTTTATTTGATATAAATATTAAAGGCTACAGAAATAGAGACATGCGAGCAACGCTATTTCTTCAGATAAAATAACACTCACTGCAGAACAACCTTCAATAATTAATCTGTTGGCAAATCCATAAACCGTTTTATTAACGTACCCGTAAATAAAAATGAACACGCCTTTAATGAATACGCTTCTACCAGAAAACTGTTTACACTACACGGCTGATTGTGGCCGTGGGACGGTACCGTGGCGCCACGGCATTTGCGTACGGCTGTCCCTTGGCGTGGCATTTAAGTTGACCTTAAACTAAGTATAGCAGAAAGTACCTATGTTACTGTCTTGGTTAAGTGAATAAGTGATAATTAATTTTGATCTTCACATTATGATTTGAAAGGGTGCGGCAGTGTACTCTTTAGCGACAGGTCTTCTGAGGGTGGTGGGGGTATGGGTTCATTGCAAGCCTACAGGATGCCATTATCAGTGGTCACCAGAGCAACGAGCGTTTGTTAAAGTCGTTTCAAAAAGTAATGATTCCATGATTGCAACTCCGAGTCATTTCCATGCATTCTTTAAATTAGGTCGACAGCATGGAGAGGTTCTATCGCGATTATTTGTACGGATAATCAACAAAATTAAACATATTAATACAAATTAATCCATAGGGATAAGAATTCAAAACAAACCTTAAAACTAGTGTAACCAAGTGGTCAGACATGTTCAAAGCAGATGCTTGTTTTCGGGCCTACAAGGCCTGTTTTCCACAGCAGCACAAACTCTATCGAATGTTAGTTGTCTGGCGTCCGATCTGCTTTGGACAGCTTGTCAGCTTCAAATTTTTTCTTTCAATTTTCTTTTTGAATGCAGAAGCCGTTGTTCTAAAGTTGGCAACCCACCACATTATTGTGCTACCTAACGGAATCCACGTCACCCTAATTACAAAAAAAATCCACGCAACTGCCACTGAGTTGCAATGATTGAATCATTACTTTTTTAATTCAACTCGAAAACAAACGCTCGTTGCTCAGGTGACCACTTCTATAACCACAGATAATGTCATTGTGTAGGCTTTCCAAAGAACCAAACCCCACCACTCTTGGACGACCTGTCGCTGAACAGTGGTGAATAAAATATAGTTTTTTTTACCGCACTCTGTATATACTAAAACAAATTGTATACATCTTATTTTTGGGATGGAACAATAACAAACTACAGCTAATGTTTTACAATAAAAAACTGACGGGGCTGTTCCTATATTAATGAGCTTTTAAGACAGTTAATGGGCTTGACTAGGAAACAAGCTAAAAGTCATCTCACACCATAATTCTCCACTCATATTTAGCTTTGAATACACGTAGCACTAGGTGGCTCTATTAAATAATTACTAGCCTTTTATACTAAATTGTTACGAGTGTGGTTATTCGCTCTTTGGTAACACGATAAAATGTTAAAATTATTGCCCTCAATGACAATATTTGTATAATGGTGCTCAATTTCAAGCAACATACTTAATAAATTCAAATTATATTTAAAAAAATCAAAGTGTACAAGTGTCAAAAGAATAATATATAATAAATTAACTAAAATCAAATACTCTGAAAAAAAGTTATAAATTAATATTTTGAGTTTAATAGCAATAAGTTTTTGTTAGAGTTTATCCTTTCTTTATCATTGAGTGGAATTAACTCATGTTAAATTGTCATGCCATTTACTTATTGTTCCCGTATAGTATTGTAAATAAAATACTTGTAAAAAAATTATAAACCCTAAATATTATTTTCAGAGGTAAAATTATAATGTCCAATTATAAAAAGGCTAATGGAAATGAAATTAGATGTGTATTTCTTATACCTTATCATACAAAAAGGAAGCTCAGAACATGAAAAAATTTACATTCTCTTAGTGAATAGTTCTCTATGTGCTTTACCTTATGTACTGACATTAATTCAAGTGGGGATAGTAATGTTAAGTATGCCACTAATACGACAAGAAAAAAATCCCCGTTGTGTACTTTCAAGTACCGTATTCCTACAAGATGTGGTTTTTGTCATCAGGACAGCAACCCGTTCTTGAGAGGGGACAAGTTGCCTGTTGCAGCAAAGAAGGGACTCAACGTCGTCTACTAACCTCGGCAAGACCCGGCAGACCACGGCTCTCGGAATCCGACAACTCCCCTAGGGAGGCTTAGTGTCTACATGTTTTGTTCATTTCCGCTGTTGTTGTTATTGTATTAATATTCATCGTGCTTCGGAAACTGATCAGTTTGTTGATTGGCCATTGAGAAATTAACAGGCCTATTCTATTATTTCAAATATTTTGAAAAATTCCCCGATTTGCAAGTACTGTGTGCATATCAGTGACATATTCATCGACGGCTAGCACCGCGGGTGCCGCTGATTAGGCCCATACAGTAACTTCAGCGCGCAGTTATTGTGTGAAGCGTCACCGTCGGAGTTACACCGTCGAGGTTCGTAGTATCCTCGATAGGTTAGATGTTTTCAAAATATGACTTTGACGAAAGACTTGCACAGTAGTGCCGGTTTTCCAAAATTACAGGGCAAAATTGTTTATTCCGACTGAAGAATGCGTAGTACTGAGGTGTGAGGCTCGCCTCAACTGCGCTTCCTTCAGACGACGGAGTTTGATTGTTTTCAACATTGCTGAAGGGTTTTCACGAAATCTCTTTTCACTTCTTTACCCATTCCTCACTTGAACACACCGGTAGTTGTTTGAGATATCTCTATGTTTAGAATAGATTCGGTACTAGCTGTTATGAATCTAAACACAAAGTTATGCTTGAACTCAACCGACATGTGTGGTTGTGTTAACTACTGAATGGTGTGAATAAAATGTTCTACTACCTAGCAAATTTGTTTTGATATTCAGAACCTTAATCTTGTTTATATTCACAGGCTGATTGTAAATAAGTGTTGAATGAATAAATTAGAAAGCAACTTTTTGAAAGAGTGATTGTTAGGGTAGAGAAAATGTAACCTCAATAGATGTGTTTTTGTATATCCACGACTTGTGTGTATAATTATATACAGTGCTCAATTTGTAAAAAATGAGGTGCCGCAACTGTAATCTTTTTAATGTGACTTGTAGCTATTTATGCTAAAATTTTTATCTTTCTGAAAGAGAGGTACCAGAACCCCATTCAGCTGCGTTACCCCGCAAATGGTTATATACAGGAAACCTCTCAATCCCAGCAACCTCAGGACTAATTCTAGGCTGGATAAACTAACCAACCTGAAGAAGATACCCTAATCCTAGTTATCATTAAAGAATTCACTATGTTTACAAGAGGCAAAAATTTAAGGTTATGTTATTTCTAAAAAAATACAAAAACACTCACATTATTCAAGCCAGGATGAGGATGCAACTAAAAAGTAAAGTCAATACACTACAAACTCAATAAAATCATAGAGATTGTGTACACAAAATAACAACAGTTGACCATGGATGTTTTGTTAACTGTTTATACTACTAGAAACAGATGATTGACATGGAGAAAGCTGATTTTGTGTTGCAAGTCATTATAAATCAATTTTGTTTTTGAATACTGAGAAGGAATCATATAAAACAAGAACTGGAAAACCTGAGGCAGAATATGAGGGATTCTACTGTTACTTAACTCCACAAAACAAAATTGTTGCAATAACAATATATTACTTACTCTTACTCCGGTGTCCATGTAAACCCATGATGGTTTTTATTCTCATCAACAATCCGCCTCTATATTCTGCCATTTCCTCTCTTGCTCCTAATCTTCTTACATCCTTCAGCACTTGGTCTCTCCACCGGAATCTTGGTCTTCCTAAAGGTCTTCTACCAATATAAGTCTCTTTTATCAAGCTGGAGTCATCCGTTCTTAATAGCATGCCCAGCCACCTCAGACGTTTACTTTTTATTATTGGATAATTTTATTTATATATTGGAAAAAATATTTAAAAAGCTATTGGAGTACATCAAAGGCATCAACACACTTTGTCAAGGCGGCTATTTGACCACAGGAATGGATCAGGTCAATAGCAGGCCTTCTCAGCAAGTTAACCATCACAGTCTGGTTTGCCTTTAATTGTGAACTTAAAAGTGAAAATACAGTATAATGAATACCTTTGATTTGTAATTTTATCAATTCTTCATTTGAGAAAAAACAAGATACCGGTACTGTACTTTTTGCTATGATTAAACAGTTAAATTTTCCAATATAAATAATTTTGTATATAGTTTTACAAGAGAGGCATACAATCACCATATCCCCCTTCAATCATTGATTATGTTGTTCTTTCAACACAAAAGTGTTTTAATTTTTAGATATAACACACTAGGGATATACTAAGCAATAACACAAAACATTAAACGGGATCTGTGGTGCAAACACTATTAGTAAATGACAACTGGCGATAACGGCACTTGACTTAAGTAACATTTACCAAACTCCTGTCAAATATTAATTTTATTTTCTGTGAAGGGTTTAGTGCCTAGAACACTAAACGGGTTAATAAAACTCTACCGTTTACAACTTATCAATCAAAAGCATTTATTAACAATAACAATAACTTGGTTCCTCAAATAACAGCTGATTAATAGACGCTCTGACATTTACATATTTGAAGCAAAATTATTAGTAGCTACATTATATTAGCGTAATGTTACTTACAATGATTCTTAATTACTAACTATGATTAAAAGTTGAATAGAATCTTTTAGCAATAACGAGAAATTACAAGTGAACGAACAAAAAACTTAGTTTTATCACTTTAGCATAACTAAGCATTCGTCCAACATTGTAATAAAAATTTATTTCTAGCATACTATTTAAACTTATTTATTTGTGTTTGGCATTGGAATTTTTTTACATTTTTGGAAGGGAAGAGTCAAAACTGTATTGTTTGGTTGTTATCTCATGTTGACCTTTTTTCAGATGGCATCTGAGTCCAGAAAAGATCTAGTTTGTAATCAATCAATTGTAATCAACAGCAAATTTTTATTTGGTAACAATTAAAATGAAAACATACTTAACACAAAATAACCAAAGCTGTAGTTCAATCACTACTAGATAAGTTATGTTAAATCCACTGATCTAAACCACTAGATATGATGGTACAAGTGGTAATTCTTCATAAGTCATTCCACACAAACTAAATATAATAAACTTAAAATGTATTCTATGGTTCAAAATGCTTCCAGTAATCATTGAATCCACCTATTTCACATTACATTGAAATCAAATAAATAAACTTGAGCATCTGCGAATGGAACAAAAACTTATAATAAATGCATTTACTTATATGGGTTTATGTGTACATTAAAAGCACTTTAAACTATAAGCATAACAATATTCTTTACTATTTAAGAAACTATTGCATCATTCTCCATCACAATTAATAAAAAAGGGTTCACATTCACAATGTTTTGGGATCCATAATCTGATCCCATCCTCATTTGGGAAAGTACCTAACATAACAAGATTAGTACAAACCAAGCCAAAGTTAGAAAATCGCAATAAACCATAATTATTGTTGTTATCTTTCAGGATTTGTTGTTTCTTGTTTTGACTCCTTACAGTTCTCTGTTGTATTTTTTCAAATTTGGTTGGGTTAGTGTACTCTACTTAAAGGTACTATCTCATCCAGGGAAGAAGAGGTTGAGGTTCTACATCCCAAAATGTTTAATTTTTACTAATCATGATGGAAAGTGTCTGCAATAGCGACTTAAATACATAACAAAAACTCATCACCACAAATTAATTCCAAACTGATAATATTGTATAAAGTCTAGTAAGAGTGACAAACAGGTTACACCATTGTGTTGCGCACAAACTTATTTTGAAGGACACCTTGATTTAATCACGTGACGGTAAATCGCATAGGACGTTGGTGGAATGGTCAAATTACATAAACAACATTTGAATCCATACTTGGTCTCATAAAGAGAACTAGGATCTACTTGATTCTCATGTGGTTTCTTCAATATATTGTCTGGTTTTTCTGTGTTGCGTTTTTTCTTCATTTTGCGCAAGTAAAGTTTTTTATTTTTTTCATGCATTGGATGCTCAAAGTGACTTTTTAAATTCTGAAATCTATCTGGAACAGTTCGAGCACAAACTGAACACACCACATATCCAGGCATGATTCCACAATGAATGTAGCTCAAATCTCCTTCATGAACATCATGTTTGAATTCATTTTCTAATCTTGTCATGAGACTAGTAAACCAGTTGGACAAATGTTTGTTCTTTGAACGTTGAGGCAAACTGTTCAGGTTTCTTCCTTTATTGTAATCATGATGATTTCCTGTAAGATGTTTTTCCAAAAAACGTACATTTTCTGACTCAACATCTTCACATATTGAGCACTTGACATACCTAGAAACTGGACATATTTGAAAACAACTCTTATACTTTCTTAAGTTAGGAGGTAAGGTTTTAGAAAGTTCAAGCATTACCTCCTTGAAGTTTTTTTCCACCTCAGAAAAGTTTGACATTCTCTTTTTATGACTCATATCATTGAAGTGAAGGAAAAAATTGTACCTGAATTCAATTATATTCTGAGATTCAAAAATGAGTTCATGACAGATTTTACAGTAGTAGTTCTTCCCATCTTTAGCTTTCTCAATATATTCTTCACTACCCACTAATGTGGAATCATTTTTATATAGGGGATTTAAGACTGATCTTAAATTCACAGACTGTTTGTTGTCCTCAAGGAAGGTGTTGTTGTTATTACTTAGTTTTAATTCTAATAGTATATTTTCAACTTTTTTTAATTCTTCAAACAACTTGCAATCCTCTGTACTTGTATGACTTTTTTGAACATCTTTGTTATCAAGAAGGAAAAGTTCATAGTTTTCTTTATGTTGAACAGTTTTCATGTGAGAGCGGATTTCATTCGTAAACAAAGAAATAGACACAAAACTGACATTTCTATCACAAAGAGTGCAATTTAACTTGTCTTTTTTTACTTCCCAGTAAGAATGTTCTTTTTGAAGCTGTTTGATATAAATCTTCAATTCCCTTTGATAAATTAATTCTGAATTCGGTTTGGCTTTCAATACAATATCACCCTCACTATAACCTGAAATTGATTACAAACTACATTAGAAAGTTCTACCATCACAGTAAAATCCACAAGTTTCATATTTAGTGATCAACTTTAATTTGAGACTAGAACAATATCATATTGCCTGCATTACTTAACAATTAAATCAGTTATAATATAATCTTAGGAATATGTTCCATTTGGCCCAAGCTTGGCTGTGCTAAAAGAAAAATAATCAATCATCCCTTCACTGTATCATCCCTTTTCCAGCCGTCCTACTTAACCGATTTTTACAATTGAGATTACATCTGTTCTGTGATAAACAAAATATAAAATTTTTTTACTCTAAATTATTTTAAGAAATTAGTTAATTTTCAGTTTGTTATCAGCTCTATGATATGCTTTTATTTTACTAAACATAATATTTCTAAATTTGAATTATGTAAATTACTTTTTCTTTACGAAGAATGGATAACATGAAAGAAATATTGTATCCTATCCTAACCTATAAACAGAAGTAGTTAAGAATGGTACCTGCACAATATTTTATAATCTTCAAGGTTGAAAAAGATGGAAACTGCTTATTTCGTGCTGTAAGTGTATTCTTAATTTGGCAATCAGAATAATTTTATTAAATTACAAAATGAAACTGTTGGATATTTAGATATCCACTGGGAACACTGGGAAACAGTTAAAATTTTTATTATTAGATGAATTTGGATCCTCAGATAAAGATGAATACGTAAAATTGATGGGAGAAAATGGAACATTCGCCATGTCTGTGGAATGTTTTGCTCTAGCGCAACTATGTCAAGTTAGTTTTCACATTTACCTACAACCCATACAGCCACAAAAATGCACAAGGACAATTGCTGAGACAACCTCCGATTGTAGTTTTCTCTCAAAATAACAAACAGATATCAGAACCAGTGGTAAATTTATTATTGTCTGGTAATCCAACTTCAGGACACTTTGATCTACTTTTAGTAAAATCCAAATCATGGACCAAAAAAGAAGGATAACGTTAATATAAAAGATGATTTGACAGATGCTACTGCAGCTGTACTGCATGCAATAAAAATTTCAAAAAAAATAAGAATAGGCTCTAACAACACTTTAAGAAAAAACACTTTATTTAATACTTATAAATGAAATGGCAACCATACAAAGTAGGTATTTTAACTTTATGCCAAGTATGAATGGAGTAGAGATGAGTGTAGGATGAGTCCCGCAATTTTGTAGTCTTATTAGTGACTAAGGCCGACTTATTCCTTAGACACAGCTGTTAATTAATAGCCCATACAACTAAGGGACCTACAGTTTTTAGTGGAATTCGAACCACATTTTACCATGGTATATACGAATTAGTCTAATTTTCAGAATAGTACTGCGGATAGCTGTTATACATATTAAACCAAAGGGAGGACATCTTTGATTTTTTGTTTGTTTGGGGATTTAGAAGATTGGGGTAAGAACTTTTGAACAGGATCATTGGAGCAGCAGAAGTGCAGAAGAGCAGGGGCAAGATGAGCCATAGCATAAGATGAGCCAAACAAATTACTCTACTACGAAATGAATTGTTATTAATTTTTAATTTCATATCATACATATCTTACTTGAATTTGTATAAGATTGGCCTTATAGCTGAGTTAATTGATCCAGTTTTAAAAGTATTGCTAAAAAGTTGATTTCAAAATCCTTTAGGATGGTGCTATTTTAAATTATCTAACGACGCGGCATTATTACGACGCGACAGTAGTGAAACATGTTTGGGATAAATTGTGTTTTACGCCATTCAAACTTGAATAGCGGACATTTATCCGAATCAAATATTACGTTTTATGGTATTGTTTGAAAGCTTAGATTATGGACCAGTTTTTTAAAGTGTTTGCTGCTCTATAAAACCTTTTTTAAAAAAAGTTTTATGTTAACTTATGTTTTAATTTTTTTTTTTTGAAAAACACAAATTTTTATTTTTATTCAATTTAATAAGTAGCTATGCAGATTTAGGCAAGTTGAAGTACATGTATTTTTATACAAAATTTTGTGGAGAACGCGATGGTACTGTTAAATGTTGATAAAAGTTTTAAAATAGCCCGAAAAATGCATCATTTTTGCAATTATGTCAATTTTTTCCAAAAAACTTAAAACAACTCATCTCTCAGGGTGTGTATGAGATATATTTTTCCAAACTACGTTTACGAGTTCCATTTATGCTCCTCTTATACCCAATAAAAAGTTCAACGCTTATTCGCAACCACCCTGTATAAGGAAATAGAGCCATTAACAAGTATAATTAAAAAGAAAAGAATTTCATTCATTGGACATCTTTTAAGGACACCAGAAAATAGAATAAGCAAGAAAATAATTGACAAGTTGTGGAATAGCAAGAGTGACTTTAGGTGGATTACAGAGATTAAGGAGGACATGAGAAGGTTGAAAATATCATTAGAAGATTTGGAAAATAAGTCAGAGGTGCTTGCAGTACTCAAAGACAAAAATATCATCCTGCCAATAGGAGCAAACAATCAGAGACAAAGAAGGGTGGTTTCGGAAGAAGAAAGAAAACAACGATCGGAAAGAATGAAGAAGTATTGGGCGGACAAGAAGAAGAGACAGAATTTAAAAAGAATCTAACCATTATATTGACTTAAGTGGTCCAATGCTGGCCATAAAATAATAATAATAATAATTTACAGCACCATTTATACAGGGCACTAGGTTCCCCAGGAAAATTAAAACCTTAACTTGAATTTCAAGAAAAAACGTATGTGTCAAATTATGCAGTTAAATTAAGTTTTATTCTAAAATGAATTATTGATGTGTAACTATCCCAAACTAACCATATAAATAGAAAGAACCACAATATTGTTTTACCTGTCTTTTTTGTTGCAAAACACAGATATAGCAGCTAATCAATCAATATATTTAGCAATAAGTTAGTACAAAATAATTTTGATTCACAAGGGTCTAAACATTCATCATCAGTGGTCGATGTGTTCGCACTAGTGTTTGTACACGTCCAGCAAGTCAGGAGTCGTACTACTGTTTTTGTGATACTAGTCGTTTACATAAGCTTTGATAGAAGATTGAACAAAAATCATCTGGAAATGTATGCCATTATTACAGCCTACTATTTCTTGTCCAAAATGACACATATGCTTTTAAAATTTATTTCCTTACATTACAATATGGCTGTACGTTGTACAGTGATATTTGATTATACAATGAGTAAAAGTCTGATTTACCTGCCGATTCATTTTTATTTCCCCTCTTCGTTTGGACCTCTTTACCTGGAAACAAACAGCAATGTGTATTAGGTGTAATTGATCTCAATATTATGAAAAAGGTTGCCAACAGTTATTAACCCTCCGAGTGTCCCTTGTTTTGGCCTTAATGTCTGCCTATTTTTTGCTCATTTGCAAGGTTTCATTAAAACGGATCTGAGAAGCTTGAACACAATGTTAATTATACTGTTCTATATACCATTTTGTTTGGAAAATCATGGGCTTCAATATTATACATAAAACATAAGAAACATTTGTTTCAAAAAAATATTTTAGGTAAAAAAATATTTTTGAAAATTTTCAAAATAAAAAATAAGTTAGCGCTCAATGAAATTGTATAAATTATAGGCCTATAAATATTTGAAAATAGCCACTTTGTTCTAAATTTTATAAGGATTACAAATATATAATAATATAAGGAAGTAGATTTGCAAAATCTTAGCTTATGATACCATAAAAAGACCCAAACTATGGGAAACAATGCAGAAAATTGGAATTCCCGACAAACTGATAAATTTGACAAAGATGTGTGTTGAAGGTTCCAAAAGTAAAGTTAAGATAGAAAATGAATACTCAGAAACCTTCCAAACCCATTCAGGGGTTAGGCAAGGGATGGACTTTCACCAATTCTTTTCAATATTGCAATAGATGAAACCTTAAAAAGCACTAAACATATCGAAGCTGGAATAAACCTCGGATCTATAGTAAACACACTTGCTTTTGCGGATGATGTTGCATTAGTTGCAGAATCAAAAGAGGACCAAGGTAAGCTTACTGAGATTATTATAAGGGAAGCAAATAAGATTGGACTTAAAATAAGTGAAGAGAAGTCAAAATATCTGAAAGTCGGAAGAACCCAAACTGAAGGAGCTGAACCTTTTAGGGTCAATAACCATAATTTTGAAAGAGTAGACGAATTTAAATACCTTGGAGTCTCAGTTAACTGGAATAACAAAAGAGGAACAGAAATAGAAAAGAGACTGATTGCAGCAACCAAATGTTTCTGGGGTGTATCAAAAATATTTAGTTCAAAAATACTATCCAAAAACACAAAATTAAGAATCTATAAAATTTTAATTCAACCAGTGCTTTTATATGGTTCGGAAACCTGGACATTAACTAAAAATCATGAAAACAAACTTATAATTTTTGAGAACAAATTTTGAGGAAGATTTTCGGACCTATAAATGAAGAAGGTATGTGGCGAATAAGAAAAAACCGAGAGCTCCGAGAACTGTACAAAGAACCGGACATTGTAGCCATAGTGAAGAGTAGACGACTGAGATGGGCAGGTCATGTAGAAAGAAGGGAAGAAGAAAGTATGCTCAAGAAGATCGCCAATGGACAACCCCGAGGCACTCGCCCGCTAGGAAGACCGAAGTTGAGATGGAGAGACCAAGTCCAGAAGGACCTACGCAGAGTGGGGGCATCTCTTGATATGGCGGCAGATCAGCAGCAGTGGAGGCAACTTGTTGGCGAGGCCAAAAACCTTCTTAGGTTTGAGTGGCCAAGGAGGTAAGGTAAGGTAAGATTTGCAAATAAATAAGTTATGGGCAAAAAACAGATTTCAGTACATAGCGTTTAGCTAAGAATGCATAGCCTAACCATAGCTAGGAATCTGGCTGATAATTACATCAGTATCACTACCTACTTCTTCAGGATCATCAACCAGCCCTTCAAAATCACTTAAATCTTCTTATAATGCACCACGTATATCACTACTTTTGATTTTTAACACTAAAACAATTATAAACGTAATAAAACACATCAGTCATCGGTTCAAGGTTAACCAAGCTATTTACAAATACGCACGTCAGCTGTCTGCTACAATATTTTTGGAACTAAAATGAAAAGCGCTTAGAGACAGACCTCCAGAGAAAGCTCTGAATCTGTAAAATAAAACGATACCTAACTCGATCCAGTTCAATCCGATTTTGTCAGTCATAGAGCCTTCGCCGTAAACAGTGTTTGTGTGTGAGTCGCTGCAGCGACACAAAACACTGCACAAAGTGTTGTTATGTGTCGCTGCAGCAACCAATAACACTCGGAGGGTTAACTTACCTAGCTGCTTTGAGCGAGCTCTTGAAACATGTTTGAGCAATGAGAATTTAAAAAATGAAAAATGTGAATTTTTAGTGTTCAACAAGATATTTTCTTTGTAAAAAAGGAGGAATAGTTTGGACACACTTTACACTTGACACTCCTAAATCCTAAAAACTATGCTTCAATCAATCAGCCGGTAACAAAATTGCAACAGTGGAAACCCTTTGTTAGGCTTATAGTTAAGATATATTCTGGAATAATCAACAGCAGCAGATTTTAAAGACATACGGTAAAAAACATGCTATGCTCCACTCTGGGTACAGCAAAGATTATAATTACATTTTCCATTTTACAACACCAATAAACAAATATCTGAAAGAAACTTTTTGTTAGCCATTGGATGTGTTTTACATTCTTCCCCTATAAATATGGCTTAATTAGACCCAAAACCTCAATTAAGTTTAAGGGTCTAGATTCTGATCCTGTCCTCAGAAGAGAAAGTATCTAAAACTACAAGATTAGTACATAAACCCAGCTAGAAAATCTAGGACTGTCTGGGATTGATTTTACTTGAGACAGGGCTGCTTTAGTAAATGGGCCCGGGCCCAAGGGTACAAAGTGTTATAGGTTAGTTGGGGGCGCAAGGAAGAGGAAAATTTCCAGGTAGGGAAAAGGGGCGCAATTATTTCTTAGGGCCTGTCTTGAGAGTGAGACACTATCTTGTAAACGTCTATCCATTGAGTGATCCTTCAATCCTTTTGCAATATCAATTATTGTTTTCTTTCAGGATTTGTTGTTTCTTGTTTTGACTTTTTACACTTCTCTGTGTGTTTGCTGGGTTTGTGTACCAAACTTGAAGGTACCATCTCATCTTATGAAGGGATCATATTCTACATCCTGAAATGTTTTGAAAACTTGATTTTTATACGTGAAGGAAAGTGACTGCATCTTAAATAACATGAGTTTATAAGATGAGTTTATCATCAACAAAAATGAATTTCAAACTACGAATATTGTATAGTTTAGTATGAGAGACAAACCTCATTGTGATGTGAGCAAACTTATTTTGAAGGACATCTAGATTTAATCACGTGACGGTAAATCGCATAGGACGTTGGTGGAATGGTCAAATTACATAGACAACATGTGAATCCATACTTGGTCTCATAAAGAGAACTAGGATCTATTTCATTCTCTTGTGGTTTCTGTAATATTTTATCTGTTTTTTCTGCAGCAGCCTTGAGCAGGAAAGCTCTTTTGTTTTTAGCGTGCTCAGAATGCTCAAAGTGAGTTTTCAAATAGCGAAATGTAGGTGCAACAGTTCGAGCACAAACTGAACACACTACATATCCAGGCATGACTCCACAATGAATGAACCTCAAATCTCCTTCATGAACATCACATTCAAATTCATTTTCTAATCTTGTCATGAGACTAGTAAACCAGTTGGACAAATGTTTGTTCTTTGAACGTTGAGGCAGACTGTTCAGGTTTCTTCCTTTATTGTAATCATGACGATTTCCTGTAAGATGTTTTTCCAAAGAATGTATATCTTCCCAAACAACATTTTGACATAGCGAGCACTTGACAAACTTAGAAAGTGGACCAATTTCAAAACACATCATGTCTTTTTGTAAGTTAGGAGATAAGGTTGTAGAAAGTTCAAGCATTAACTTCTTGAAGTTTTTTTCCACCTTTGAAAAATTTGACATTCTCTTTTTATGACTCATATCACTTATGTGAGTGAACAGATTGTACCTAAATTCAATTATATTTGGAGATTCAAAAATAAGTTCTTTGCAAACTATACAGTAAAAGTTCTTCCCATCTTTTGCTTTATCAATACATTTTTCACTACCCACTAATGTGGAATCATTTTTACATAGGGGAATTAAGATTGCTCTTAAATCCACCGACTCTAAGCTGTCTCCATAGCTTGTTTTATTTTTATAACTTAGTTTTAATTCTGATAGTACATTTTCAACTTTTTCAATTTCTGTTAACAATTTACAATCCTCTGTACTTGAATGACTTTTTTGAACCTCTTTGTTATCAAGAAGGAAAAGTTCATACTTTTCTTTATGTTGAACAGTTTTCATGTGAGAGCGGATTTCTTTTCTAAACACAGAAATGGACACAAAACCGACCTTTTTATCACAAAGAGTGCATTTTAACTTGTGTTTTTTTACTTTCCAGTAAGAGTGTTCTTTTTGAAGCTGCTGGATAAAAATCTTCAACTCTTGTTCATAAACTACTTCTGAATCCGTTTTGGCTTCCAATACAATGTCATCATCACTATAACCTGAAATTGATTACAAACCACATTAGAAAGCTGTACAATTGCAGTAAAACCCGTCAAGTAGATATTGTGATGCGGTAAAAGATCAAATCCATCTGAAAATATATGCCAATATAACAAAGAAAACACATACATTGCTATCGTTTTTTCTTGTCCAAAAGACGCTTTGTTAAAAGTACATGTCCTTTTAATATTTGATTATACAATATGAGCCAAAGTTTTTACCTGCTGATTTCTTCTTGCTTTTGCTCCTCGTGAGAACCTCTCCACCTGAAAGTAAACAGAGATGTATACGGTATCAGGTGAAATTGATCTCAATTCTATGAAAACAACTTTTTCCAGCGATATACATAATTCAGAGAACAGAATCAAAGAATACCACACCTGCAAATAGAAAATCTTATATTAACTTGAATGTCAACAATGTCAAGCCCAAAAATAGGCATGACAAAAAACGCCCTAAGGGAGAGAATGAATGGCCACCGCCAAGTTGTAAACGGAACAAGTTAGAAACTATGATGGAAGCTTGAATTACAGCTTCTAAAAAGATAAAAGGTCCCAGGCGGGGAGAACTCCCTACCTGCGGATCGATAGTGGTACAAATTTCATGCACTATTGTGTTTTCGAACAGATTTGATTATACGTTCATTTTAATTAATAAAGACCACTTAGCTAAAGTGTAATCTAACTTTTCATTTGCATCTTGTTAAGAGTTTTAATTCTTGCTTTCATCATAGTTTCTAACTTGTTCCGTCCCTGAAATAAAATGCCTTTACAAAAACCATAACAGAATATTTTTTATTGACAAAAAATTCTAAAACTTATAAATATGCTTTATAAGCTATCTAAAAGCTATCAAAATTTCATGACGACTAGATCAGTAGTTTTTTTTTTTTTTTCATTTAACCTGCTGAAAGGCTGAGTTGAAACTGCATAAACAATTTGAAACCAACACACATAAACGCAAAAATAAATTGGTAAAAATATGATGTAACTTTTCTCTTAAGTCTACTGGTTCCGTTGCAATAATAGCTCAAACTCAAGTACCACTACTGTCGAATCAAAAATTATTCTAAATGTTAGTTTTAAAGTGTGCTAAAATATGTAACATGAAAAAAATCTGCTCATAAACCAAACTGTTTTCAAAAAAGTCTTTAGCGTTGATTAAAAAATTATTTCAGAAAAAACTTAGTTAGCCTATGACTATAAAAAGTGCTTGAACATAAAATATCTAGATTCTATTATTTTTTTTACTGCATGTGTGTGTTTATTATGTTTGTATTGAACTAATCAATGTAGAATGAATTTTATTATCTATATAAATAAAATTAGAGTTTTGTCTGTACATTGCTTAGAATAATGAACTTTTTGGTTATTTTTACATTTCATAGGTCAGAGAAACCGAATCAAACCTTATCTCAATTTCTGTCTGTCTGTCTGTCTGTCTATCTGTCATTCTCTTGGTAACGCTAAAATACGCACTTTATTACAACTACTCCTCAATAACTATAGCACTGTCCCGCCTGAAACTTATTTTCCAAATACTATACATATATGAGATGGTTTTAGACGTATTTCATCGAATATGAGACAGTTAGATATTTAACAGTAAACCCTTGAAAATCAAGTTTTTGTCGATTTTTGACGTGGAATTTCTGGAAGCCCATGTTAACCTTATGAGAAATGAAATTATTGAATCTTAACAGCTGTTTCAATTAAACAAGTTGGTTCTGTTCTGTGATGTTCAATAGCATTAAAGTTACAAGGATTACCAACAGGGTGCAGCACTAGCACTATTATTTCTTTTACATTTATGACAACAGCTAATTTGCAACCTGGAGGCGAGTGAGCGTAGCGAACGAGCTAACCTGAAGGCAAGTGAGCGTAGCGAACGAGCTAACCTGAAGGAAAGTGAGCGCAGCGAACGAGCTCCAACATACAGGTGAGTGAGCGTAGCGAACGAACTTCAACCAGGACGTGATTGAGCCATGCAAACGAGATCAGATAGTAAAAATAAAAGTAAGCCTACCGTTATAGGATCGACCGGCAGACACAGAGGTAATTTAACCTTTTATTGATTGTCATACCGATCCGGAACAACAAAAAACAACATAAAATGAAGCTATGTATAATAGTTTGGCCAGCATATCTTAAAATATGCAAACCAACTGCTGTTCGTTATATAAGAAGGTTTCAACTGAATATTATAAGATCCCCGTGCGTAGAACGGGTACACAGCTAGTCTTTCAATAAAATCATAAATGTTAAGTTTGTGTTTATTTAATAGCCTTGCAAACAACATTTTTAATCATGAAGGTTTTACAGGTTTTTTTGTAAAAACACAAATTTAAGAGTTAGGATGAACCTTAATATTTTAAAAATAACCTAGTTCCAGACCCTTATTGTTTTTTGCTACCGTACTTTCTATAGTAGTAAGGGCCTCAAGAGTTGGTGACGTCTTGTCCGCTCTGAAAGACTGAATAATTCCACTAGGCCCTGCACCACCCAAAGCCACCGGCTCTGCTTGTTGAACTGCTTGTCGATTAACTACTTTTGGTTTCGGTTTGGCTTCCAATACAAAGTCATCACCTGAAATTTACGATAAACTCCATTAGAAAGTTGTACCATTGTGGTAAACCACACAATTATCAAATGTAGAGATAAACTTTTACTAGACAAGAACAATATATTGCTCATTGCCCGAATTATTGAACAATTACACAAGTCTGGGAACATGTACTTGCAATTGGTCCAAAGTTTCACTATATTAAAGGAAAAGTAATACTATCCCTACATTGTTAGTAATAAGCTAGTAATAATGTTGTTTCAGGAGGTCTGAACATTTAGGGGTCTTCTTCACCCCTGCAAAAACAATAAAAACATGCCTTGGATGTCCCTCGCTCCGGATGGAATGTGTGAAGATATAATGTTAAAACTTTTTTCCCTTAGATTAATGTTGGTTCTAGGACCCTCATACATGATATATCCAAGAAAATCAATAGTATAAGTACCTTAAAGTAACGCAAGTAGAGTCACTTTTAAACACTAATAAACTAATTATTTTTTTCATTTTCAACCTTTTGAGGTATAAGAGCTCTAATATAACTATTAAACTACATTGATACCAAATTTCAAGAACATCTGTTGAAAAACGGCCTCCGAAACGCGGGACGAAATTAACATGTTCTGTCGGAGGCTACTTCCCTACCAGCCTTTTACAAAACTTGGCTCAGGCGGCAGATGAATCACCGACATGTCTATTTAGTAGTTGTGTGTTCACGATGTTTTCATAATGGCGCGCATAATGACCCCGCGCTACCCTCCCGTCTACAACACCTTCCCCCCAAGGCCATATCCCCAAAACGCTGGATGATGAAGACTCTTAATATTGGTAGTCGAGTGTTCACACTTCCAGCAAAGTAGGAGTCGTAGTCTACCTGTTTTGTGATACTTGTATCCTACTTGAACTATGATAGAAGATTTAAAACCCTTCCTAATCGGGGGTTGCAGTGCAAAGCCACATCCAGAACCGCACTGATTTATTAGGTTAAACCGCACTGACTGCAGCTGATTGCACTGTGTGATCAATAATTTGGTAGGGGTTAAAAAATTGATTTTTCAATTCTGATGTTTTCTAAAGGGGACTTAACTGTTTTCCTGTAAACCCCAAACCTTAACCTTTGAGGAGAATGACCAAAGGCGTTACACAGGCTAGTGTGGTGAATAAAATAAAAATTATACATGTTGGTAAATTGTGTGGTAAATTATACATGTTGGAATATATTAGCAACGATAAAAAAGTTCCACCGTATAATTTTACAGTCGGCGCAGGTATTACCCCGTCCAGCCTGCCGCCCGGCTGCCCTGACGTTGAGAATTGTGACGGTGCCAGTATCTTGTGACGCCATCAATCAGCTGGGATCAAATCAGTGGTTTTCCCATCCCTAGGGGATTGGGGGGGAGGAAATGGGGGGCTAGGGATGACCTGACCATTCTGATCCTGGGATTGACAGTGTGAAAACATCTCTCATGATAATGATTTGATAATTGCGAGTGATTGTGCTTTTGAGCTTACAGTGGTGAGTGAAGGTACCTGGAGTACACAGGTAATTCACCATTTTATTCTATAGTGAGTACAGGGTGGACCAAAAAAACAGGGACAATTTTAAAATGTTATTACTCAGCTGTTATACAGGCTGGAGAGTTCATTGATGCGACAAACGAAAGTTTATTTGATGCCATTTAGAGGCGGTTCACGAGTCACAGGTTATCCCGAGTTCAAGCGCAAAATCCAGTTATAGCCAGTTTTTTGCGCCGCGGCTTAGAAATCGGCTTCACGAGTACGAGGTTACCCGCGCTCGGGCGCAGACAGATAAACTTCACCCAATTATGACAGGGATAAACTCGAGCGCAAAAAGTCGGCTTCACGGGTTCAATTAGAGAAAACCCCGGGCTAAATGTCGGGTTCACGAGTCATGGTCTAGCGCAAACTGGATAATCTCGGGCGTAAATAACAATGGTTTTGGCCGTCAACTTAACCCTGCTAGGGGGCAGGGTTAAGGTGACATCATGTCGGGATTATCTCATTTGCTCGTTTATTGTTTTTTTGTTAGCAAAAAGAATGTTATATTCGGATTCGCCATTAAATTCCGAACAATTTCATTACCATCAACATGATATTTATTTTTTTAATTTTTTTACTACTGATTGCCGAAAACATGCAAAACATCGTAAAAAGTAACTGTTGAGAAATTTTTATTAATTATTACTAAGTAAAAATATAACTAATAGCTTAACATCTAATATATAAAATTCTCGTGTCACAGTGTTTGTCTGCAAACTCCTCCGGAACGACTTCACCGATCGTTATGAAATTTGGTGTGTAAATTCTGTAGGTATGCGAATAGGAAGTAAACTATTTCCCGTTTCGAAATTCTTAAAAGGGCTCCGCCCCAGTGGCTCTGGAGTTTCCCATGTTAACCTTATGAGAAATGGAATTAATGAATCTTAACAGCTGTTTCAATTAAACAAGTTGGTTCTGTTCTATGATGTTCAATGGCATTAAAGTTACAAGGATTACCAACAGGGTGCAGCACTATTATTTCTTTTACATTTATGACAACAGCTAATTTGCAACCAAAAGGTGAGTGAGCGTAGCGAACGAACTTCAACCTGGAGGCGAGTGAGCGTAGCGAACGAGCTAACCTAAAGGCAAGTGAGCGCAGCGAACGAGCTCCAACCTAAAGGTGAGTGAGCGTAGCGAACGAGCTCCAACCCAAAGGTGAGTGAGCGTAGCGAACGAACTTCAACCAGGACGTGATTGAGCGATGCGAACGAGATCATCTTGAAAATTAAACGTAACGGTACTTTCTTTCCATCGGTCTGTCTTAGGGGAAACCTATAACTTAGGCGATACGAAGTTCGCGGGGTCAGCTAGTAATCATATAAATTTAAATTGCAATCGAATCTAATTGCGTAAATGTTTTATGTTTATTTTAGCAATTTTGAATCCTTTTATTTCAGCTGAATAATATCAAAATAAAAATGGTTCCATCAAACACTGTTAGGTTTGTCTAAGAATTTGTATTGTATAAAATTAGTACAATTTTTGTTCCTCCAAAAAATTCATATAAAACATAGGTCATTTTGTATCCAAATTTTATTTTGTATCTATTAAATTATATGTTTATATTATTATGTTTATGATTTAACATTTGTTAACGAAAGACCTTTTCATCTGATAATGTCTTAATATTTGTCATATCGGGATTTACAATAAATTGCTTCAATTTTCTGAGTTAAAAGATAAATTCTATAGTTAAATATACAAAACGTTGTATTACAACAATAAAAAATTATATCCTGTTTTTATACACTTAAGATTTCTCATGCTTAATGTCTGAGTAAATCCTAAGGTGTAGCGACATTTCATATTTTGTTGTGGTGTTTCCGGACCAACTGATTGACAAAAAATAAAAGGTTAAAATACCTGATTGTCGCCTTTGTGATCCCAAGTATTGTCCTAGTGGATTATGTACAATTCGGCGCGAGCGCCATCGTTGGATCCGTATAGGACAATACTTTGGACCACAAGGCAACAGTAAGGTATTTTAACCTTTTATTTATCTGTAGCTACATGATGATGTATTGAAAAGAGCGCGAAATACTAACTAGGGTGTCTACTGCCATTTGATTTAGAACTTCCACTCCTCTACACAGTTAAGTACTGAAATGAAATATTCTAATATCTCTTAGCCTATAACTAATGTTCAATATTTATTTTTTTGTTTCTCAATAAAAGAAAAATATCTACGTACGTCACATATATTGCAATCACTTTCAAACAAAAATATTAACGTTTTATATTATAATTTTTTACTTATATAAGGGCATCCCGACTCCTATAATAGCCAGTTGTTCCTATCCAAATTTATTTTTTTCACAAATTACTGATACATAAAAGATAATCATAAATCTTTGAAAAGAACATTCATTTTATGAAATATTTTGAATGTTTGGTTAAAACTGCAAACCTGATAAGTATGTTGTATATTTTAACATAAATGGTGATCTAAATTTAGATTGCAGCCATTACCAAGATTTGTTTTAACAAATGTTATTAAAAACATAATTGTATTTTCCAGATTCAATGACATGTCAGTAAAAGTATATTATTCATTTCGTAATTCAATGATTAATCCAGTAACTTTAAACTTTAGTATAGCATGAATTTAAGTGCAAGTTTTTAACCTTTTTATGCATCATCAGTAAACACTCTGTAGAATTGAAATAATTTATCACGCCATTCTATTGTTTTGGGACTCGTCGACCGCGAGCAGCGGCTCGGTAGGTAGCCCACGTGGCTGTTGCCAACCTTATAACGAAAGTTCCCCGTTAAATCCCTGCTGTTGAGCGACGGTCAGCGTTGGTCTCGGCTAAGCTTGATCTCGGCTAACGCTCTATGTCGTGAACCCATTTTTTGGCCGTCGGTTAAAATTGGCCGAGAACAACGATAACCGCGGGCCACGGAACCCCGTACTCGTGAACCGCCTCTTAGTGTATAGTTACTATGGATCATCAATGGTTACCGCAACATCGTGCCTTTGTCATAGAGACTTTTTTTAAAGAATAATTTGACTTTCATTTCTACTCAACGTTAATTTCGTGTTCACTTCAACTTTGGCCGTAATGGTGCAGCCCCAAACCGAATAAACTACTCAAAGATGGGTAAACAATGTCCTAAACACGGCTTTTGTACTCAAAATTAAACCTATGCAAATTTAAATTTCAATGCAATGTTTTGCAAACGGTTGGCTTTGGACGCTCGACCCAGGACACTCGCGCGAACCATTTCAATGTTTTCCCGCGTTCGAACAGTCCGAGGTATCCCACTAGGTTTAACTTTGAGTGCAGAAGACGTGTTCTGGAAATTACTTACCCAACTTAAAATAGTTTTTCGCTTTGGGGTTGCACTATTACGGCCAATGTTGAAATGAAAACTAAATTGACGTTGAGTAGAAATAAAGGTCAAATTATTCTTCAAAAAAGTCTCTATGACAAAGGCACGATGTTGCGGTAACCATTGATGATTCATAGTAACTATACACTAAATGGCATCAAATAAATTTTCTTTTGTCGCATCAATGAACTCTCCAGCCTTTATAACAGCTGAGTAATAAAATTTTAAAATTGTCCCTGTTTTTTTGGTCCACCCTTTACTATTGTTCAGAGTATTGATTGCTGACAAAGTCAATCCCATTAGCTGGGTCAAAGACAAAGATTATAAGTATCAAGAGTTTCTTAGCGTATAACCCTCTCTTTATTATTGTATTAATAAAATTCACGGAAATGCCTTTCATAGGTGAACCTGTTCAAGTCGGAGTTAGCGTATGCATTGCAAAGGCTTGCGTGGTATATGATAAAGATTAGGCCTAATACAGTTAAATATATCATTAGGAATGTGTTTATAGTCAAGGATCGTGAGATTTTAACCACTGCAGGCTGAATTGAACCCGTCAAAGCAGGTCGTGCAAACACGTGGTCGGGTGAGCAGGCAAGCATAAGTTAGGGATTTTCATTTTGAAAGAAGATAAAACTGCAACAATCGTTTGTTTTATGATTTTATATTTAGGGATTTACAATATTTAAAAATTAAATTCATGTTATGTCAGTGTTTGACATGTTCATGTTAAATTCATGGTAGGCTGATAAATTAAACCCAGGAAACTTTCCAGCTTGCCGACTTGGAGCAACGTCTTTCCCGCTATCATTACAGAAGAGTATATACAACTAGCGAGAAAAACGTCACGTTACAAAACAATGAGTCAAAGTTTGTTTTACCTGATTTCTTCTTGTTTTTGCTTCTCATGTGAACGTCTCGATCTGAAAGTAAACAGAGATGTGTATCAGGCTTCTATAAATAAAATATATATATATAGGTATTTGAAAATTGTCTTCAGTAATCGAGGGAGGGCTTGGCCTACTCCTTGAGCTGCCACTGATAACGTAGCAATTTTAAATTTACTGATTTTTTAAAATACTCTCGATAACTATTAAGCGTAACGCTATAACGCATTGATATACAGAATTATTTTGAAAAATTGCAAAACTTTATGTTTTTTAATTGTCAAACATGAGGAAAAACTTTGTACCCCATAAAATTCCATAATTCCAAATCAGATAAATTTTACTCGAGATATCATTCCAAGGGACACACAGTTTGTGGGAATAATAGCTTATTCTCCATATAGCCTATGGAAAGTTGAGTAATTTTCAGGATAAAGAGGTGTTCTTCAAAAGCGCTAAAAAAGTGCTAAAGATGGGCCAAATGAGAAAATTATTTTTATAAATAAGAAATGTACTCATTGGGTAGAGTGACAAAACAACTAAGCAAAAAATAAGTTAAGTCATTAGCAACTATTACCCTACAGTACATAAAAACTTACAACAAAACAATTACGAGAGTTCTTTTTTGACTAACGGCCGTTGGTGTGTTTAACTACTTATTGTGTACACTGTATGGAGGCTCCTGCCTGCTTACTAGCATTACTTGTGAACATAATTGCGCCATTTGCAGTTCTGGAGTTGATGCGTGTCACACATTGCAGAGTGACAAGATTTAAAAATTATTGGATCTTTCATCATATGCGAGATATGGTCAGTGATTTGTTTTTTGACTGCAAGAAACTATGAGCTGCAGACATTCATCGCCCGATGACTGCAGGTTATGGCCCTAATGCAACGAGTAGGGTAAAGTGCAGAAATGGATTAGGGAGTTTAAAAATGGGCCGTGAAAATTTCCATTTTGGAAGAATTTTTTTTTTGAGGGAACCCAGACTTTTCACAGAAGACCAAATGAAAAAGATTTTCACGGCCATTTTCAAACCCCCTAAGCCATTTTTACACTTGTTATGGTAAAAATATCATGGCATAAGAAACAATCACCGTTTCTTATGAATGATTTCAAATAGCCCGCGCGGGGTCATTTGTTCTTTAAAACGGCCACGCGCTGTGCTAGCATCGCGACCCCTAAAATTACAGCACAAGACAGGGTACAGTCTGTCAAGAATATGAGGAGCAGATGGAGTGGAATGGGGCATAAGGCGAAATAGCCTGATATTAGATCAGGGCAAAATAGCTCCTGGACTCAAAAACATCGCGATATGTTAGGTCAGAGCGAAATAGCTCCTAGACGTGTAAAAGTTAGCCTACAGATTGTTAGACCAGCCCGGGTATGGGATCAGCGATGGAATAACCCTGGGCGAACGAGTATATTCGAACGCTAGACATTAGGCAAGGGAAAAATAGCAACTGGAATCGTACAAGTCACAAAACGTTAGGCGACAGTGGAAAAGTCCCTGGAAGTTGAATATATAATTTTGTTTTAGGTACTTTAAGTATCGTAGTTTTAGTCATACGGTACCAGTAAAATACTGTTAACCAATAAGTTTAAGATTTTGTTTTATCTTTCTAAAGTTCATAGGCCTAATTTTAATTATTTTTAACCAGTGTTTAATAAACTATAACCAATCTTTCTAAATTTATTTGTTTGTTTACCGTAAATTTTAGTCGGCTATGATGAATGTGTGGTTACTGAAAGCTAACTTCTTACCGACAACATGAAATAATGAGTTATTCCTTCAAACTAAATGAATACACAATAATAATACAATTTCTTGGATCTACGTCGCCACATTATCCAGTACTCGAGGCAAACGTAAAAAAAAAAAACAATTCTATTAAACACTTGATGAGTCCAGTCTCTTCACTTGAAAAATACAAGTTGCCGCTCTCTGTGGAGTCCTAAATATAGATTATAAAACCAGAACTTGAAAAAATTTGAATCTAAAAGTTTAGTTGTTATAACTAAAAATTGATTTCCATATGATGAAATGGAAAACAACAAAAAATAACAAAATAGTGAATCTTAACGGATTTATTGAAAAAGTTGATGGAAAAAATTAAAAATATATTCTTTGAGAGATTGATGTAAATAGGCCTAATCAGCCAAAAAATGTCAGCCTATTCAGTGTAATCAGCCTAAAAAGCCAATGTTTCAATTTTGAAGAAATTTTTTTTAATCAAACAAAATCTGATAGGCCCCTACTGTATCTTCCAGCAGTTGGTTGAAGTATTTGGGACCATTATAGGCCTACTGATAAGAATGTCTGAACAATGACTTGTTTACTTTAGGTAATCGGAAAATGTCTTGATTGTTTTGTCTAGTATTATACAAAAGATTGCTTGTCACAGTATTTCCACTGCATACATCTGAGCCAATATATTTAAATTTAAAACTATAATTAGGGCCTATTACTAACCTTATCATTAGATATAGTTATCCGAGGCCGATAAGTGTAATTTTGCCCCAGTGACGAAATTGCACCGTCACACCCTCTTTCACTGCATTTGTGTCATAACCTTCAGTCATCTGGCAATAAATTTCAGCATCTGATAAACGTTTCTTGTAATACAAAAATTTGTCACTGACCTTATCTCGCATGTGGCGGGAGATTCAATAATATAATTAATTATACAATTTTTCTAGACACACTGCAAAGTGTAGCCGCCAAGTCAGCTAGAGAGAGGCAAATGCCACCGTTATGTTCGCAAATAATGTGAGTAAGCGGCAAGGAGCCTCGTTGCTGGATACACGTAAACTAAGAGACCATACGAACAAACGGCCTTACTTAAAACGACCCTCATAAAGACAATTACTTACTTTTGGCTGACATTTTTGACCCAGTCAAAGGAACTTTTTGATATATTTCCTTGTGTTATTGAAAGTCAGCTTGTACATTCATCTGGGAAAATATTAAAAAATTAATTCCAAGGCAATTAAATTATTGTGCGATAACAAGGGTATCAAAATCAAACTTCACCTTACAAATTCGTAGTCACGACCAACTTAAACCTAGAAAGCGGTGTTTTCCTAGTGACGCAGGTTATGCTTTTTTAATTTTCAACACTTTTACAATTGTTGAGGAAAAAAATATACAATATGCTATCCATACAATTTCAATGAATATGCTTAAATTTTCAAAACATGTTCTGCCAAACAAAAAGTTTTTAAAAACAAGTAAAAATTCAAATTTTTTAATAATATTTTATTCAAATTTAACTAAAACTGTTTCTTGTTTCATTTTCAGTAATAATTCAACCTTAATCTGTTTTATTTAATTCTTTAATTATTTTCATCAAAAACGTTAATAAATCTATGATTAAATAGAATAGCCTACTACAGTATTAATTTCTTCTACCAGATACTTTAATCAATACTTTACTTTGAAATGCCGACCATACAAAAGTAGGCTACCTGAGTTTTTTAACCCAAGTATGAATGGAGATGAGTGTAGAGTGATGCGAACTTGTAGTCTTGTTAGTGACTAAGGCCAACATATTCCAGGTGGATTTAGAAAATCAACTCCATTTACCAATATTTCTTGTGCTTAGGGATATTGCGATATTATCGATATCAATGCATATCAATATTTTTGTTTCGATATTTCAGATATTGTATCGATATTGGGGTTTCGATAATACCGTGATTTTGGAAGAATTTTGTCGATATCGGTTCTCGATATTGAATTTTCTAAGTTTAGACAAAGTTTTAGTGATATCGACATATATCACAGCCGCCTTTAACTCCAGGCCGCAGCCTTCTAAGTGGCAACGTCGCAAGTGGTGTTGTAACAGCAGCTGTTTTGTTTGGAAGCAGCTAATGGTATTTGTTTCTTTGTGAAAGATTGGTTATGGTACTGGACTATGACAATATTCCCGGTAACTGCGCTTAAAATGCACAGATCTAGATTTTTAATTCATATTGTTTCGGTTTTCCATTCTGCATGTTTTATTTTCAATATTTTAATAAATTTATGTTCTTAAGTTTAAATTTAAATCAATAGAGTGCGAATTAATGAGCTGATGTCACCTGTCTGCCATGTTATCTTACTAACAACATGTCTGTCACTAAACAACACCACTTACACGACGTTGCCAATTCTACCAGGCCGCGGCCTGTAGTTAAAGGTGGCCGTGCACACCTTCTTATCGAGTAAGTAGTTATGTACAAGATAAAATTCACACTAATATAGGAATAACTGGTTATATTTTAATTGTCGTAGAAGGAACTAAGTTAGTAGCAACTGATTTTTATTGCTGGAGTGTTGGTTGCGCGTCAGCTGTCACTTGTTAGTTGTCAGAGCTCAAGAGCCGTTGATTTATAGCCTACACTAAAGTCCACCAGTGTGAACCTTGTTTAAATTGTTGTAAATACGGTAATTATTGTTTTCATTGTAACTCCAAAAAATTAGGCTAATATTGAAATGCACTGTGTTTAAAGCTGCAAACAACTATGTTTATCGCTTGGATTTTTATTATTAATTTCAAATTTCCCTTACTCTTTGGTCCTTATAAATAAAAAGTAATAACAATCAACAGGTAGCCTACTAAAGTGAAAGTAACATATCTGCCAAAAAAGATTTCCTGACAGAACGCCTTATCAAAAATCCTAAACAAGCTCAAGCAAGTCATTAAAAAGTAGATTCCTCAAAAGTAATATCGATATTCGATATTGAAGATATCGATATTTTGATCCAATATTATCGTGATATCGGTATTAGTGGCTAGAATCGTTATCGATATCTAATATCAATAGATTGCTGATATCGCAACAACCCTACTAAAGTAGGGTAAGTTTTGGGCTAAATTAAATAAAACATGTTAATAGTAGCAAGCAAACCTATCTTACCCACTAGTCATGAAATACTCACTCATTAAATATACACCCACCCACCAGCTTAATTAACCAATACAGTAAATAAAAGTCACTGACTACTTACTTTTCGCAAATCTCTCCGTGTATGTAAATTTAAAATTGAATTAATTGAAAAACATACGATGTTGACAGCTAGTTCTCAAGATCTCAAGGTTACAACTTACTACAACAGGAACAGGAGCGACAGTGAGACTGAGACTATTGGAACTGGACTGGACTGAGACTGGAGTGACAGTAACAGTGAAACGAGACCTTCCCCGGAGGACAGAAACGCAGAAACCCCTGCCACCTGCACCACCAAGCCAAGACTAGCGTCTAGCGTCTCAGTAGTCTTAGAGAATCACTAGTATCAGAGACCTTAATAGCATCTCAATTTCCTCATCAGAAACTGGAGAGAACCTTTTCTGCGAAGGAGTGGGGGGGCGTGACGCCACTCTACTCTTGAGGGAACACCATTACAGCCTTGGTTTCCTAGACCGCCAGCGCGACCTGTCCGACGCAGTGTTCACTGGCGCGGGCGTGATGCCCACTGTCCGCGGGCGTGGTTGTGGTTTCCTAGGCAGCGTAATTCGCGGGCCAGACGCGACGCAGCGTAGTCCAGTAGTCACAGCTAGTCTGGGCGAGCGGCCGCGCTAGGGCGGGGGGTGTAGAGGGGAGTGTTTATTGCTCATTTCCAAAAACATCTGGCCCACACGGCTCTCTGGGGTTGTTCAGCAAGGCTGTGGGGGTGAGCGAGCCGTTACTCTCAGCACGGGTAGTGCAGGTGGCTTGGTAGTACACAAGGGTCTGCGCGCCCAAACTAACTGCGATTACGGTTACATGGTGTGGAGAGATGGCTAAGATTTTGGCTGCAGCTTTGTTGCTTCAAGAAGATGTTGAGAAAGAAGAATTGATGTTGGCACAATGTTTAAGAGAAGATCACCATACAATCTTTAAACGAAGACCTTCCCCATAGCAGCAAACCTAAGCACTCATTAAATCTAATGTTATTTCAATTGGGAATAAATATGTCTTATTTATGGAAATATTTTAGTAAAAATGTAATCAGACAAGTTGAAATTCGCTTAGTCTGCAGGTTTGCTGCGGCAGGGGTGTATTATAAATATAGACTAAGACTTATCGTACTTATCATTTTTGTAATGGTCTTTGGCCGTTGGAATGTAAATAAATAAATAAATAAGCTATTGATATTTTAATAATAAACACACTTTATTAGTTTCCCTGCAGCAGCTAACCTAGGTAGGCCTACTCGTTAAACATAAATGTTAATTTAATAGATTAATTGAAAATCAATCCAGGCAAATGGAAATTCGCTTAGTCGGCAGGTTTGCTGCAGCGGGGGCATTTGAAGTTTGAATAGCTAGAGTAATTCAGTTGAACTTTTAGTTTTATACCCAACAAATAGGACTCCACCAAATCTAATCATAAGCCTTTTGTCTAATACCATAAAACGTTTGTGCAATAAAAGTTTGTAATTGACACAGTCATGCCCTTGACAAATCACAGAAGATGCCAATGGTATACTGCGATCCAACAACAGCACTTGATATGTAATTTGAGACCTCAAAGAGAACGTTTGAGGTCTAAAGTATTACAACCCCTTCTAAATCCAAACTGATTATTACAAGGAATGTTGATGGTTTCAAAATATGATAGTCTATTAAAGATTAACTTTTCATAGACCTTGGAGAAAACTGGCATTATTGGTCTGAAAATCTCAAGCAGTGTTACTCCTTTTTGTGGATTGGACGAACAATACTATATTTCAGTAAATCTTGAAATACACCACACCTTTATTAATAGAAATGTTGATGATGTATGACAAAGGTTCACCAATGCTGTCTATACAAAGTTTTAAAATAAAACTTTCTTCAACTAGTTGATCGAGTATAGTTCGGCCAAAGTTTCTGTGTGCGTGACCAGATCTGGTTGGGTCTAGGCGAGGGGGTTGGTGGGGGTACTTTTGTGAAAACATTACAGTATTTTTGTCTTGCTACTCACTCTACCCTACCCCCAACGCTGCCCATAACCAGTAAGTTACCCATATGTTTTAGTTCGGCTAGTAGCGACCCGTCCAAGCGCACACAAGTTTTGGCCGAACTGTACTCGCTGATTACCAAACCATGTTAAAGGATGAAAACCCGCCGGCAAACACAGGCTATTCAGTGGTCGCAACCGTGATGTTGGGATAGATGAACCTCCTTGGTCCTTTTGATTTCCACGAGTTTCTTCAATATGTCCGCTGCAGACCAGCAATGTTCTAGATACAGTACTTCAAATGATTTATAATAGAATCTTTGTTTTTTCTGAGAGGATGTGCAATATCTCGGATGTTGAAAAATCAATTGGAACAGAAAACTTGATGCAACGTTTAGTAGAAGTAACTGTTTTAATTTCATCTTCTGTAGCAGCTAGATATTTTATATCTTCATCCTATGGTACCTACTTTTGATCTAATGTTAGATTAAATCCCTAATTTTAGAATACAATCAACTATCAAAGCGCTTACCGTAGATAGTTAGGTTTCAACTTACTGTAAAAAGAAGGCAATTTTACATCTGAAGATGGTTTCTATATGCCTATCACACTTTTAGCTTTAGCATTTACAGCTCTGCAATGATTTGATCCGAGATTGTGTTTCTTGTGAATACTAGTAACTGTTACAAAAGTTTGATTACAAATGTCTGTGTATTGAGTTAGCATTTTCAAATTTGGATCGTGTTACAAGAGTCAAAGCGGTGATTATATTAAAAACTAGCGCGTTACTGGCGTTACTGCGCTAAACAACTATTATTTTAAATGGTAATTTGTTCTTTAAAATCTATATCTTTATATAATTATTTATATTAGGTGTATGAATATATAAGTTTTTACTTTGATAAAGGTTTTTACTTTTTGTGTTTACATATTTAATACATTAGGGGAGAATTTAAACGTTGTTGAGTTCACAGGTGTGCTGCGATTGGGGTTTGATATATTTGGACTTATCTAAAAGTAAAATAGTTTTCTGTGCTGCATTCTGTGGAAATATTGTGGCACTATTCCAAATCATGACTAATACAGAATGTTGTGATTATTCAAACCAACAGTTGGGGAAAGTAAACATCTGCTTTTAAATTATATTTATTTGTAAACATTGTAGTTCCAAAAGTCTGATATTGGACCCCTTAACCCTCTGGGGCGGAGCCCTTTTGACGGATCTGCTCCAAACTTCACACAAACCATCCTTGAATAATGCTTAACTAGTGTACATGTTGCTCGAATTCGAGCAATTGCAAAGTATTACAGAAGTTATTTCAAAACTAATAACACAGTCATATTTACAATGAGTTTAAAAGACTCAAATCAAAGATTACCGGGGTGTAACTCATGGTGATACTCACGATGTATACAGGGTGTTTTTTTAAAAACTTGCATCTTTATTTATGTAAAAACCGCAATAGATAGAAATATGCAGTTTTCGGGAATCATCTATTGACGTAGAGGGCCCAATTGTTTTGAATTCTACGTTACATTCACATTCCCCCCCTTTCCCCCCCTGCCCTCAACTTAATGTTTTTAAATAGCAAGGTACCCCTTGTGACATATCAAATAAAAGAGCATGAAAAAAGAAAATGTTTGATGAAAAAAAATTGAAAATCGGTTCACAAATTTGCGGGATATTTCCCCCTCCCCGGAACTTATTTTTTTTTAATAGCAAGGTACCCCTTGTGACATATCAAATGAAAGAGCATGAAAAAAGAAATGTTTTGGTGAAAACAAAATTAAAATCGGCTCATGAATTTGTGAGATAGTCCCCCCCCTTTTCCCCTACCCATAACTTGTTTTTTAATAGCAAGGTACCCGCCCTTGTGACATATCAAATGAAAAATAAATTTCATCAAACATTTTCTTTTTTCATGCTCTTTCATTTGATACGTCACAAGGGGTACCTTGCGATTTAAAAAAATTAAGTTGGGGGCAGGGGGGGAAAGGGGGGGAATGTGAATGTAATGTAGATTTCAAAACAATTGGGCCCCCTACGTCAATAGATGATTCCCGCAAATTGCATATTTCTATCTATTGCGGTTTTTACATAAATAAAGATGCAAGTTTTTAAAAAAACACCCTGCATAACAGTTTCCTGTAAATATTTTACCATATTTCATAACCTGGTATTTTTTTTTAGTGTTTTCTACAAACATTTCCTGACTTATAGCCGCATAAGGTTGTCCATGTTTATCTTCGTTACTGATTTTGTTATCTTTGTTTATTGATAAACCTATGCATGGTACCACCCTTGTCGCCAGCAGTAAGTTAACAAATTTCAGTCATTCTAAAGATAAAATATGTTTTCTTTTTAAGGACTTCCTGTTGTCTGTCACAATTTTATTTGTTCAATAGGCGTACTTTTGGTTAGTTGCAATAACGTTAATTATATTTACCTGAGAAAATGCAGAGTTAAAGAACTGATGTTGTTCAGTTGATATTTGTTTCCCTTAGCTATATATAAATAATAATTAAATGCCTTCAATAAAAATGTTAGTAAACAGGTTTCTTGACTTTTATGGAAACGTAGATTAATATCATAGACATACCAAATTTATTTAGCCTTAGAGGGCTTTCCTCTCCAATGATCACAAAGTGAAGTCCATGTTTCCTACTAAAATTTGTAGCACTTCGGCTAACATCCTCGTTCATCGCTTGTAGGAATCTTCATCTTGTAGGTGTTCTTCATTATATAGGCTAATAACGATCATAAATTCTTTAAAAAATATTATCTCTATTTCTTCTACTCGGTGGCGTTCTATGACATTTTATGTCTACATAATTTGCAAATGGGTTCTTTTTTGTAGGACGCATTTCTTTCAATTGAATCTTAAAAATATTAACAGCAATTAAATATCCAGCTGATCATAATGTAAACAAATATGTTCCTCTTAAGGATAACATGGGAACTTTAAAAGCCACTGAGGCAGAGCCCAAGGGACTTTTTCAAAAATGTAAGGTCAGTTTGTAAATCTACGCGACATGCTCTTTCATATTGTTAAAATCGGTTAAGAAATGGCAGAGAAGATCAACCAACAAATTTAGTGTTGGCGTATTAATTATATAATAGATAATGCCTGAAAGTTTCATTACAATCTGTCAAGCAGTTTTGGAGGCCATAAGGTACCTACATACATATAAATACAT